CAGCTGAGGGGCACGTGGACACAAGCGCAGTGGTTCAGGGCGCGGACGCGGCGCGCGAAGTCGAGCGGTAAGGCGGGCGCGCCGACCAGATGGCCGTCATCGATGGCGACGGCGTCGTCGGCGGATTGCGCGGCATCCGGGGCAGCTGCGGTAACGTCGCGGCATTGCGCGCAATGCGCTGCTGTCGCGGTGCCCGCGATGATGCCGCCGACGACGGGGAGCGTCGAGGCGTTGGCTGCCGGCAGCGGGCGCACGCGCGTTGGCCAAGAAGCCAGAGGCCGCCGCAAGTGGAGTCGTCGCAGACGCTGCGCTGGAGGGCAACAACCGTGTCCCGCGCATGTTGGCGGTCATGGCCTGGCCTGCGCGCGTCGCCGTTAAGTGCCACACGAAACCGCCAGGAGTGCAAAAAAGCCACGGTCTGGGCACCATGGGCACCAGTGGTGCCCATTGCGGAAGGGCACGCGCGGGGTGGCGCCTTCTGGAAGTAGGAAAAAGGCGCGGAATAAAAGGGCGCGGTGCCAATGATGGATCCGGCGAGGTTATCCACGATTGGCATCACACCCCTTCATGCCACACCCTTTCCCAATCTCCAGGCGTTTGGGTCTGCGGCAGTGCTTCTCCGGCGTGATCGGGCACGGCGGAAGCCCGCGCGGCGGCGCGCGCCCTGGCGAAGGCGGGGGGCGCGCCGCGGGCCGGCCGGCCACCGGCCACAACACCTGGCGGCGGCGGTGGCGGGCGGGCAACAGGCGCCCGCTGGGCCCGGAGGGTTCAGGCGCCCGGGGGGGGCGGCGGTTCGCGAGCACCTGCACCACGTGAGAACGGAGCACGACGTCAGGCAAACGTCCTCGGCGTTGCTGGCCCCACGTTGCTGGACGCCGGCGTCGATCGCCATTCGCGCAGGGGCAGCGCTGGCGCTGGAAGACGCCGCGCCAGCGGCAGCGGCGGCAGGGGGCGGCTCTTGCGCAGCAGAGCCCCGTGCTTCTGCTAGGGCAGCGGCGCGGCGGGACTCCTCAGCGGGAGTGCGGCATCGATCTCAATGTTGCGCTCTCTGTCCATTGTCAGCTTGCCCATGCGGAGCTCGAGCGACGGTTCGTCGCCGTCCGCGCGGTTGCGCGGGAGTTGGCGCCCTGGCGAGCAGCGGGCCCACGTGCCATCGTTGACCTCGACACACGCGTTGCGCACTGTGACGTTCCGCCGCGGGTCCCTTCTGGTCGGCGCCTCCGCGGGGAAGGCGGGTGCAAGAATAACCTTCGCTATCAGAGCCGTCTGCACGGACACCGTCAGCCAGAAAGACGGCACACCATACCACGCGGTGCCGAGCCCAGAGGGTGACCGTGATGCAGATGGGAGGGAGAGAGAGAGAGAGAGAGAGTCGGCCTGACGCGGGAGAAGCTGATTCAGACCCTCCCGAAGTGGTGCTGGGATGAGACCGCGGAGGCGCCTGAAGATCTGCGCGGCGCACATCAACTGCACCTACGACGTGGAGGGCCTTTGCCACCAACTGCCGTCGAGGGTGCAGAAACCAAACCGCCCCCAAGGGAGACCGCCTTGCCAAGTGATGCGGCTCGCGCTGAAAATGGCGCCTTCACAAGAAACGTTCGCACCCGTCTGATGGGGCCACGAAACGCTGTACTGGCTAGGGTTATGTTGCCCCCTATCGTGCTAAGGACCACATCCCAGAAATGATTTCGAGCACCCAGACAAGTATCGAAAGAGTGTCGAACGAGTATCGCCTCCCAGGGCCCGACACGTGAAAATAGTATATTTTCGGTGCGTTCTTGGTGCTCGGAAATCTCTCTGGTGATCAAGACTAAAGTGGTTGGAACATCAGCCTTCGGTGGGGCTCCCTTTGGGGCCACGAAACGCAATATTCGGTGGGGGGGCGGGGACGCCTTCGGCCGCGGCCGCTGGGGCCTTCGGTGGAGCTCCCGATGGGGCAACGAAACGGTGTCCTGGGTGGGGTGGCACGCATGCGGCCGTGGCCTTTGGGGCCTTCGGTGGATCGCCTTGTGGGCCACGAAACGCTGTACTGAGTAGGGGAGCCGCATGCGGCCGCGGCCACTGAGCCTTCGGTGGAGCTCCCCATGAGGCCACCAAACGCTCAAACGCTGTAAGGGGTGGGGGAAGACGAATGCGGCCGCGGCCACATGGACCTTCGGTGGACCTCCCTGTGGGTCCACAAACGATGTGAGGAGTTTACCGCAATCGTCGTGCGGAGAGCAGACGCAGGCATGGGAGGAGGGAGGAGGGAGGAGGGAGGAGGGAGGAGGAGAGAAGAGGAGAGGAGGGGAGGAGGGGAGGAGGGGAGGAGAGGAGGAGAGGAGGAGAGGAGACTCTGGCGCGATCTTTTCGAGTCGCCAAGCGTCTGGGCCCCCCAAAGTTTCCAAAGGTCCCAGGACCTCCCCGAAGCCCCAGGAGATCCTGGAGGATCCACAAAAACCCCAGGTTTGTCGAAGCCAAGATCCTGGCAAGCACGTCGCGTGCAAATGTCCGTCGGCTACCGGAGCCTCCGGCGCGACCGGCCCTACGTGGCCGCCCCCCGTGGGCATACTGGCCTGACCAGACCTGACCTCCACAGAAGCCCCGTGTCGGCTCGGACGGAAGGGGGGGATAGCAACGAGGGGGGTTGCGAATCAGCTCCCGCAGCTGAGTCTCCCTGCGCCTCCCAGCGCTGGAGGCGCCCCTGCATCAGGGAAAGGCGCACGGCGGCGGGGCCGATGCCGGCGGCACGCAGCAGATGTCATACCCCTCTGTACCCCTCTTTCTCTGTCCCCCTTCCGCACAACACGAAGATTTGGACGCCCGAAATTGATACGGGAATGATCCTGGCGAGGTACCCCAAACATATGCATGTGTGAATAACGGAGCTGTGAGAGTTGCCTTCAGTGGAGCTCCTTGTGGGGCCACGAAACGTCTGAGGGGTGTGCCGAAATGGGTCGGGCGGGCGCATGTGGACTCTGCCAACGGACCCTTCGGTAGAGCTCCCCATGGGGAACGAAACGTGTGAGGGGTGTGCCGAAGTGGGTCGGGCGGACGCATGTGGACCCTCCCGCTGGGTCCTTCGGTGGAGCTCCCCATGGGGCCGCGAAATGTGTGAGGGGTCGGGCGGACGCATGTGGACCCTCCCACCAGGGCCTTCGGTGGAACTCCCTACGGGGCCACGGAACCTGTGAGGGGCGTGCCGAAATTGGACGGGCGGACGCATGTGGACCCTGCAACTGAGGCCTTCGGTGGCGCTCCCCATGGAGCCACGAAACGTATGAGGGGGGTGCTGAAATGGGCAGGGCGGACGCATGCGGACCCTTCGACTGGGGCCTTCGGTTGAGCTCCGTATGGGGCAATGGAACGTCCGAGGCGTGTGTCTAAATGGGTCGTGGGTCGGGAAGACGCATGTGGACCCTGCCACCAGGGCCTTCGGTGGAGCTCCCTGTGGGGCCACGCAACGTGTGAGCGGTGTGCCGAAATGGTGCAGGGAGACGCATGTGGACCCTCCCACTGGGGCCTTCGGTGGAGCTCCCTGTGGGGCCACGAAACGTGTGAGTGGTGTGCCGAAATGGTGCGGGGGGACGCATGTGGACCCTGACACTGGGGCCTTCGGCGGAGCTCCCTATCGGGCCACGAAACGTGCGAGAAAGGTGCCGAAATGGATCGGGCGAACGCATGTGGACCCTGCCAACGGGGCCTTCGGTGCAGCTCCCTGTGGGGCCACGGATCGCGTAAGGGGTGTACCGAATTGGAGGGGGGCGCATGTGGACTCTACCACTGGGGCCTTCGGCAACGCTCCCTATGGAGCCACGAAACGCATGAGTGGTGTGCCGAAATGGGTCGAGCGGACGCATGTGGACTCTCCCACTGGGGCCTTCGGTGGGGCTCCCTGCGGGGCCACGGAACGTGCGAGGGGTGTACCGAAATGGGCCGGGCGGACGCATGATGACCCTTCCACCGGGGCCTTCGGTGGAGCTCCCCAGGGGGCCGCGAAATGTGTGAGGGGTGTGGCGACATGGGTCGGGTGGACGCATGTGGACCCTCCCACTAGGGCCTTCGGTGGAACTCCCTATGGTGCCACGGAACCTGTGAGGGGCGTGCCGAAATTGGACGGGCGGACGCATGTGGACCCTCTCACTGGGGCCTTCGGTGACGCTCCCCATGGAGCCACGAAACGTGTGAGGGTTGCCGACATTGGGTCGATCCGGCGCTTGTGGATCCTACCAACCAACGGGGCCTCCTGTGCAGCTCCCAGTGGGGCCACGGAACGTGCGAGGGGTCTGCCGAAACAGAACATGTGGACGCTGCCACTGGGGCCTTCGGTGGAGCTCCGAAACGTGTGGCGGGTCTGCCGGAATGAGGTTGGGACGCATGTGGACCCTGCCACTGAGGCCTTCGGTGGAGCTCCCTGTGGGGCCACGGAACGTGCGAGGGGTGTGCCGAGATGGGTCGGGCGGACGCATGTGGACCCTCCCACGGGGGCCTTCGGTGTGGCTCCCTTGTAGGGCCACGAGGCGTGCGCGGGGTGTGCCGAAATGGTGCGACGGGACGCAGCTGGGGCCTTCGGTGGAGCTCCCTCTGAGGGCACGAAATTTGTCAGGGGTGTTCTGACATGGGGCGGGGGAACACGTGTAGACCCTGCCCCTGGGGCCTTTGGTCGAGCTCCCTCTGGCGGCACGAAACGTGTGAGGGGTGTGCCGAAATGGTGCGGGGGGACGCATGTGGACCCTGCCACTGGGGCCTCGTTGGAGCTCCCGATGGGGCCACGAAACGTGTGAGGGTTGTGCCGACATGATGCCGAAATGGTTGTGCGGAGGGCAGGGGGAAGGATGGAAGGAAGGAGGAGAGGGACGCGGAGCGCTCTCTCTTCAAAACGACGACCCAACACCACAGGATGGCTGGGAAAAACGAATCCGTCGTCGTCGTGAGCGCCGCGCGGACTTCCTGGGCTGCCCTCTGGAGGGCCTTCGAGGGCGCACGCGGCGCCGAGCGGGCGGAGCGCTGAACGGAGCAGCCTGCGAAAGCATGCCGGTCACCGTCATGGGCTTGTGCGTGCAGGCCATGAGCTTGGCCTTCGCAGAGGGGGATGAGGCGAAACAAGCTACGTGCTACGTATTCGCCCATGGGCCCCCTTGTCACCTATCAGCCGAGCCTGATGGATAGTGAGTCAGGTAGACAGTTCGCAATGTGCAATATGGAAAATGATCTATTGGACGACTGACAGTGAAACAGATGGTTGGTTTAATCTGTAGATCGAGAATGAGATATAGAAATATATTGAGATTGGTTAACAGACAGTAGGACCCATAGACGGCTAGATCGATACATGGAGCATGGCCTCGCTGGGAATATTAAGAGCGACACCCGTAAACACATAGCGAGACCAATAGCGAAAGTGATCGATTGATACATAGTGATTATGGTAGATGCAGCGACAGTGAGATCCGCGAGCGCTTTGCGCGAGCTTAGGTTTCAAAGTGGAAGAGGGCAACGTCTGAAAACATCGGGCTCATGAAACAAAACTCTGCAATGAACACGGAGCATGGATTCAACGGCACACGCGCAGAGATACGAGATGCGATCCTCGATCGAATATCATTCTAGCGGAGAGGATCAGGAACGAGAGGTTGGGAGGTTGGAGGAGGGAGGGAGGAGGGAGGGGGGAGATTGGAGGAGAGAGGGAGCGGGGACGCGCGCGCAAAGGCGCTGGACGTTCCAACGAAGCCACGCGTGCAGCGTGAAAGCAGTCGAGACAATGCCGTCAGGTCCTCGTCGCTGTCCGTATCCTTTCCTCGTTGTCACTATCCGTTTTTCCCGTCATGTCATCCTCCTTCTCCTTCTCCGTGTCCTCCGCGCGCGCAAGAAAAGCGGAGAGAAGCACATCACTTGCCGAGAAGATGGGGGCTAGCAGGCACCTTTCTCTGGCCAGTCACCCCAGCGTGTGCGCGCTGTGGGGGGCGAGACAAACTGCCTACCTATGGACAATGGACAAAAAAGAGCGGAACACCCGTCTGGTCGGTCGACCAGCGGCGCAGGGCAGAACGACACGCGATGCCCTGGACTGGGAAGGGTAGGCATCAGGTTGGCGCAAACTTATCTAGTCAGTCGCCAAAGGGTGCGCGCGCAAAGGCGAGCGAAACGACTTGCCCTAGAGTGAAGGAAGAAGGAGTTCGCCTTGGGCACACACACACACACACGCACTTGTCTAGTCGGTTGCCCAAGGGTGTGTACGAATGACTGAGCGAGACTGGTCTCTCGCCTACAGAATAAGAAGAGCAGACAAGCGGGACAATGAGAATTCGTCACTGGCTTCCTACGTAAATGCGTAAGGTATGCCATGGTCGGCGGCGGCCGCGCACTTCGCGAGCGCGCCTCTGTTCTAGCGTAACACATGGCGACTTCGTCATAGCACAGCGAGTGCATATCTCGATGCGTCTCAAGGTTGGGGCTGCTTTTGCTTATCTTGAGCCGTCCTGGGGTCGCCAACAACTCATCATTCGTCCCTCCTCGCTCCTCTTTGGATCTTGAGGTCCTCTTGGGTTCCTCATGGGATGGTTGGGAAGGCGGCTATCTACTATTTTATCTAACAGCGAAGACTGATAGGTTTCTAGTGGGCTCAAAAGAAAGCATCTTGACTCCCCAGGGGGGTCTGGGCGGGTGCCGGGAGAAGCCGGGGAACCCGGGGACTCCCCAGGACTCCTATAGATTCCCATAGTTTCCGATGCATTCCTACAGATTCTGTTCCCAGAATACCATTCCCAGGCCACATTTTGAATGCCCGGAGCCAACTGTAGGCCACTTCGTGTTCTTCGTCTTCCCAGAACACCATTCCCAGGCCACATTTTGAATGCCCGGAGCCAACTGTAGGCCACGTCGTGTTCTTCGTGTTCCCAGAACACCATTCCCAGGCCACATGTCGAATGCCCGGAGCCAACTGTAGACCACTTCGTGCTCTTCATGTTCCCAGAACACCATTCCTGTACCATCTTCTGATTGCCCGGAGCCAACTCTGGGCCACTTCGTGATCTTCGTGTTCCCAGAACACCAGTCCTGTGCCATATTTTGAATGCCCGAGCTGAGGCAGGCTGAGGCCGAGGCAGGCTGAGGCCGAGGCAGGCTGAGGCTGAGGCTGAGGCACGCCGAGGCAGGCTGAGGCTGAGGCTGAGGCAGGCTGAGGCTGAGGCAGGCTGAGGCTGAGGCTGACGCAGGCTGAGGGCTGAGGCTGAGGCTGAGGCAGGCCGAGGCTGAGCTGAGACTGAGGCCGAGGCAGGCTGAGGCTGAGGCTGAGGCAAGCAAAGCAGGCTGAGGCTGAGGCTGAAGCTGAGGCAGGCTGAGGCTGAGGCTGAGGCTGAGGCTGAGGCAAGCTGCGGCAGGCAAGCTGAGGCTGAGGCATGGCTGAGGCTGAGGCTAAGGCTGAGGCAGGCTGAGGCTGAGGCTGAGGCCGAGGCAGGCTGAGGCTGAGGCCGAGGCAAGCCTAGGCAGGCTGAGGCCGAGGCAGACTGAGGCCGAGGCAGGCTGAGGCTGAGGCTGAGGCAAGCCGAGGCAGGCTGAGGCTGAGGCTGAGGCTGAGGCTGAGGCTGAGGCAGGCTGAGGCTGAGGCAGGCTGAGGCTGAGGCTGACGCAGGCAAAGGCCGAGGCAGGCTGAGGCTGAGGCTGAGGCAGGCTGAGGCTGAGGCCGAGGCAGGCTGAGGCTGAGGCTGAGGCAAGCCGAGCCAGGCTGAGGCTGAGGCTGAAACTGAGGCAGGCTGAGGCATCCGTAGGAATCCATAGGAATCCTTAGGAATCCCTAGGAATCCTTAGGAATCCGTAGGCATCCTTAGGAATGCGTAGGCATAGTTAAGCATCCTCAGGAATCCTTAGGAATCCCTCGGAATCCTTAGGATTCCATTAGATCCTAAGGCCGTTGCCACTGCGACTGTCATTGCGAATGCGACTGCGACTGCGAGAACAGCAGAATTCTACAACTGGATTCTCATGCACATCGCTGTTAGGTTGCTTTGCCGGGATAATTTCGTTTTACGCCCACGGGTGAAACAACGATCCCTCTGGGTCAAAAACAACCCCCGGTCAAACAACCCCGTGTCAAACAACCACCGGGTCAAACAGCCGCGTGAAACAGCCCAGGTAAAACAAGCTCTGGATCAAACGGCCCTGGGAAATCCGCCGATACGGCGTGTGAATTTCTGAGAGCGTGGGCTTGAGCTCGCTCAAGCTTCGCTCTGCAGGGGGGCGGGGGAACTTTTTTCCGACGTGTTATGTGAACACAATGGTCCCGGCTCCCCTGGCCGGCCCCATCAGCTCCCCCCGACTCCGCTCCCGGTCCCGGCCCTGGCCCCAACCCCGGCCCTGCAGGGCTCCAGATCCCGGCACCGGCCCTGGCCCCGGCCCCGACCCTGACGGGGCCCCAGGCCCAGCCCTGACCATGGCTCCCGGTCCAACCCCAGCCCCAGCCCGCGGCCCCAACCCGGCCCTGGCCCCGCTCCCAATCCCGGCCCTGGCCCTGGTCCCCGATCCCGCCAGCCCTGGCCCTCGGTCCCAGCTCCCGGTCCCGGTCTCAGCCCCAGCCGCTACTGGTCCCAGCCCCGGTCCCACGGTCCCGGCCCCGATCCCCGTTTCTGGCCCCGGCCCCGCCGGCCGAAGCTGGTCCCAGCCCCAGCCCCAGCCCCGACACCAGTCCAGCCGCAAGCCCGGACGGGCTCCGGCCCCGGCCTCAGCCGGGCCCTGGCCGCGGCCCCAGCCCCGGCCCCAGCCCCGGCCCCGGCCCTGGCTCCAAGCCCGCTCCGGCCGCTCCGGCCCCGGCCCCAGCCCTGGTCCCGGCCACGGCGCCGGCCCCGGCCCCGGCTCACGGTCCCGGCCCTGGCCCCGGCTCCGTTTCCGGCCCTGGCCCCGGCTCCCGGTATCGGTTTTGGCCCCGGCCCAGGTTCAGGCTTCGGCTCCAGTCCCAGTCCCGACCCTGGCCCCCGCCACGACCCCGACCTTGGCCCCCAGTCCCCGCTCTCCGACTCGGTCCCGACCTCCTCCTCCTCCTCCTCCTCCTCCTCCTCCTCCTCCTCCTCCTCCTCCTCCTCCTCCTCCTCCACCTCCTCCTCCCCCTTCTGCTCCTCCTCATCCTCCCCATTCCTCC